TTTCTCATTATATGGAACGATCGAATATGTTAACACATGTTATGGCACATTTATTTCGTTTATACAATCATTATACCATTCAAAATCCATTCGATGCTGGAAAAGTACGATAGAATTAATTTAAATAAAACTATTTTTTTGTTTCGCATATTTAGTTAATAATGGATGGTATGGAAAAGCATTTATATGATCGTAGTCTTCAAACATCGGGTAGTGCATGTTTATATTATGTTGTTGATATGTTTCAAAATGAATCGGATACAATGTTAGAAAAATATCATGATTATTTAAAACGATTACTTATACTTATTCTTACAGCAATGAAAGCTCATATTCATCATTCACCAGTAAATAGAAAAATAATTCTTCTTATATGCATATGTTTATATTTAGATGATTCGTAATGGATTATTAACTATATCTCGAATGCAAATGCATTTACCAAATCATATCGTAAGTAATTTTAACAACGATAAAAAATTTTATGATTATTTCTTTAGATGAGTGCATTTGAACAGACAATTAATGTTCTTATTAAATTTATTGAACTTTATTTACATGAACCTGTTACCCATGATCCACTTTTACTTCACAATGCCTTAACAGTTCTTAATCATATTGCATGTAGTGTTGATGGTCAAGAGAAATTATTTATTGGACGTGTTGGTGTTATTGAAGTAATAGAAAATTGATTATTTTAATAGAAAAATTAAAAAATTAATATTTTAGATTGCTATTGAAATAATTCATCGTTTCTTAATTAAAAAAACTAGCTGTGAAATAGTTGAAGTTGCCTGGACTTTACTATGGAATATAACTGATGAAACACCTGAGAATTGTCGAAGGTTTCTCGAAGATAATAATGGTTTACAAACATATTACGATTGTTTAGAATTATGGTCGGATAAACGTGATCTTATACGAAATATGTTAGGATTATTAGGCAATGTTGCTGAAGTAAAAGAATTAAGACATCATTTAGTTACTCCTATGCATATGGAAAAATTCAGGTTTGAAAAAATTTGTTAATCTTTTTAATAATTTCTAAGTTTTATATTATAAATAATATAGAAGTTTATTAAAACGATCACAAGTAAATGATATAGAAATTCCATATAATTGTGGTGGAGTTCTTGCAAATATTCTTTCCGATGGTATTGATGCATGGAAAATAGGTTCAAGCATTGAACAAGAAGTTGTCAATCAAGAAATGTGTGATGCTATACAAACATGGGATTTACGGAGACAACGAACAATTAATTATCGATCATTAGCACCCATTCTAAGATTATTAAGTGACAATTATCCAAGTGGTTGTGTTATGTGGGCTGTTTGGGCAATGACTAATCTAACTACTGTTCTCCGTATGTATTTCCTATTAACATTTTTAATTCATTTTTTTTGTTATATTTTTAGCGGAAAAATATTGTACATTAGTTCGAAATGAAGATGGTGAATCATTATTAACTCAAATTTTATACAGTGACAAATTAACTGATGCAATAAAGAATTTAGCTCAAGCAGCTCTTGCTAACGTTCAACGGTAATAACATTCTTTTTGTCCAAAGAAAACATCTTCATATCTTTTGCTTATAGTTTTTATGATCCACCTGTTCCCATGGATATTGCGCCTGATGATTAACTTGAAATATGATAGTTTAGATACGTATGTTTTTGTTTTCATAGATTTAATGCAGTACATTTTCTTTTTTGTTTTTATACATTTACTTTATCCTTCCTTATTTGTAAACAAATGAACAGTTTTGCTTTCTTTTCTTTTCTTCCAACTGAACCTCATTTTGTGTTTGTCTGTTTCTTGTGATATATTTTTTTCTTAATCTCAATCAACTATATGTACAGAAAGGCAAGAAATACTAATTCTTTTATATATACATATAGATAGACATGTATATATATATATATATATTAATGGGATATTTTTTTTTCTATCAATTTTGCAAAAATAAAGAACGCTGCTTCGTTGTTGTTTTTTTTTTGCATTAAAAAATTAAAAAAAGATAAAAATGTTATTAGTTTTTATTCATTTATCGTTGACGTTTTGGTAGAAGTAAACTGATAAGAACACCAAATGGACGTTCAAATATAAGATGTGCTAAGAGACCAAGTATTAATGAAAATACAAAATGACCAAAATATATATAAAGTAATGTTATATCAGTCGCATGAAATAGATTTTGTTGTGCAAACATATAATACACCATAATCATTGGATGTATTAAATAAGTTGTATAGGATATATGAGCGAAAAATGTAAAACCACGCCATGATAATATAGTATCAATAAGTGGTGCAAGACCTTTTGTACATGAAAATATAATCCATGATATTGCTAATGGCCAAGCAATACGCGATAAAACAAAATAAAGAACATATTCAGAAGGAGTCATTGGTACACCACCTTCTTTATGATTTGTCCAATTACCAAATATACTTGTGGCCATAAAGACAATTGTTAAAGCCCAAAATAATAAATGAAATATCGGATGTAAATGAATCTTTTTCTTTTGATTTTCAGTTTTAAAAAATATATAACCAAGTACAATACCTATTATATATGGAGCAGCACGACAATATGGTTTTGTATAAGTATCTAAAATAATACATAACCATCTAATCTTTTTTTTGTTCAAAATTAAATATTTCTCTTACCTTCCCATATAGCTTGAAGTGTAACAAGAATTTGTCCAACTCGATAGGTATTAGCAATATTAAATGCTAATATACATGAACTTGCAAATAAAACTCCAAGTAAAATACATGAACCAATTATTGGAAAATAATATAAGGGTACAATAAGAAATGGTGCAATAAGAAATAATTGAAAATCATTTGAGACATACCAATAATAACCCATACATCGTGTACCTACTCCATTTGGTACAAAATTATTAATTAAAAGAAAATATGCCCACCAATAATCATGACAATCAGAATTTTTCATTGGAAAATCTTTTGCTGTCCATAATGGTCCTTGACCAATGAAAGGTACAACATATATATATAATAAAAATACCATTATATAGGGTGGTATTAAACGTAAATAACGTTCAAGATACATCATGGGCCAAAAATACCATTTAGGCATACCATTTTTTTTTAACATACGCATTAATGATAATGTAATTAACATAGCACTTATTAGAAAAAATGTATCAACACCATATAATGCATTGATAATTAATTGAGCCTCAAAACGTTTTTGAAAATCTAATAAATCAAGTGCATTTTGTGTTAGTAAAAAATAACTTTGATCACCAATATAATTATATGTATGACCGAATATAATCCATCCCATTGAAATAACACGTAAACCATTTAAACATTTCATTGCACCTAAAATAATTATTTTTGTTATTTATTCTTATTCATAATCATATTTTCTTACCTGAATTTGACATTGGTTTAAGTATTGCTGTATAAGCTGAAAGATCAATAACAATTCGATGAATTCTGTAAACTAATTGATTATACCAATGTTTTCGACTTTTACTTACAGCTGTTCTTTCAGCTTCTGATGGATAACTCATTCCATGTAATCGAAGACGATTAGAAAATTGATATTGATAAGCATCTAAGTTTTTATAAAAAATTCCATGTGGTTGTTCACGTGATGATGAAAAATTACATAATGTATGAAGATTTTGCATTGATAAAGTACTTGCTGTTGCATATGGTTTATTTAATATTGAACGAAATAAACAATCATATGATGTTGCTAATACGACAATTGTTGTTAGAATAGTTATAATTACGATTGTAACATAATAAGATCCAGGTGGATCAATTGGACTTTCACATTGTACACCGTCAGCATAATGAACATTTGAAAACTGATGAATTGTTAATAATCGAAGAGTATGATTAACAAGTGCTGCTACATCTTCATTCTCACAAAAATCAGGTACACATAAACCAAGATCTATAGCAGCTAATGCAGCTGGATCACCAGGAAAACCTTCAAGAGCAGGACCAGCGCCAGCAAGCAATATTGGATCAGCACGAACTTTTGCTCGGCAATATCGTCCTTTAAATTGAAATGATGCATTGGAATATTTCACTTTATGACAACTTTGCCAATTACCAAGCCAATTTGTATTAGCAGCTAAAAGATTTGTTGGAGGTTTTCCAATTGCATCAAACATACGTATTGCCCATACATTTCTAGTTGGTTGTGCCATTGCATCAAGCCATAAACTCCATGCTTTTCGACAACCTGGTGTTTTAATACCTTTAAGATAAATATCATTGAAATAAGTCTTGGCATTTTTAGGTGCTTCACGAAAATTATATGCAAGAAGTTTTGCAACATTAGGAGGAGTAATAAAACGTTGGATATAATATTTTAAATCATACCAGGTGACAGCAAGTGATCCATTGATTTCTAAGAGTGTTATTATTCGAACTAGATCTGGAATTAAATAATTAAAATCACCTAAAAGAAAAAAAACATTTTTTCATTGTAATTTCTTTATATTTAATTTTATTTTACCAGGCATATAAGATGGATTGTTTGTTATAAATAAAGCTGTTTGCTGAAGTCCAAGTAAAAGCATTTCATTAAGTGTTGCATTATCGAACGTAGGAGTATTAAAAAGTATATCTGTTTGTGATCCATTACTTTTATCACCTAAGAGTATGAGTTGAACAGCTTCTGCTAGATAACAGAATTGATCATTATTTGGTTGACATTGGCTAGTCATGACTCTTGACGAAAATATTTTTTGAAAGTTCACTGGTTGATTAACCGTATTGCTACTCTTCATTAATTGACCATTGTTATATCCAACGAAGGATACAAGAATGATCAAAGTGAAAAGTAGAAATTGAATAGAAGAAGTAAACGTCGACATATTGCTACATAAACGCATATGAAAATGTTTGAATACTCATCTTTTCTTTTTTAGTTGTTATTTTAATGATAAGAATAAAATATTTGTTATCTCATTTTTTTTATTAAAGAGAAGCACATGATCTTTATTTATTCAACAATTGAATCTAAAATATGTGACCATCGTAAGAGATGTTGATATCAAATTCAAACAAAGAAAAAAAAACGCATTTCACTAACATATTTGTTGCATAATATTGATGAAGTATATATATATATATATAGTAACAAGAAAGTGAATTAGGTTATATTTTATATGAAACATTTTAATAGATAAAGATAATAGAATGTGAAACAAATTTAATGTTAACTGAAAACTAGTTTATTTAATATGAAAAGATTTAAATTAGTAAAAAT